CCTCTGTCGGGTCCTCACATCTTAGAGGTATTCATCGTTTGATCCGCCATACCTAAGTTTCCGTTCAAATGTTATGGCGAACCATATTATATCCTCAGTTCTCTATACACATACCGGGTTTGAACAATGGGGGAATCGGGCATCGGATTTCAAATTGCCATTGTAGGTCGGAGGCCTCAAAATCCTACTGGTTTAGCCAATCAATGCCATTCAGCGTACGTCATCTCATTCAATCTATACCAAAACAGTTCAACTTCAGCATATGTATACGTACAATTATAAGTATAAAGAATCAAAGTTGAAGCCGTTTTTGCCATCTCTCTCTTTACCCTTTTTTCTTGTTACAGTTCTCTTCTTCAACATTATAATACAACTCGTTACCATGGCCGCCGAGCACCAAATCCCCATCCTGATCATAGGCGGCGGTATTGTAGGTCTATCGGCTTCTCTCTTTCTCTCCCAACACGGAATACAATCTCTCCTCATTGAGCGTCACTCTGGAACATCCATACACCCACGAGCTCGATCCGTCAATGCTCGGACCATGGAACTATTCCGCGGTCTCGGGATGGACGATCTTGTTCGAGAAGCCGGTGTCTCAATGAAAGCAACTATGGGTATTCACAAAGGAAAATCGCTCAAGGAAGTAATAGAAGCTAAGAAACCAATCGATAGTCCTAGGAAAATTCCTTTGGCTGGTTTGATGGATCCGATTAGTCCGGTGCATGGAACGTTTGTAACGCAGGATATGCTTGAACCAGTTTTGGTGGATGTGGCAAGGGAACGAGGGGGTGATTTGAGATTCTATACGGAATGTATCAGTATTCAACAAGACAGTGATAGTGTTACGGCCACACTCAAAGACCGAGAAACTGGCGCTGTCTCCTCAGTTCGTGCAGAGTACCTTATCGCCGCCGATGGGGCAGGAAGCCCTATCCGAAATCGACTCAACGTCCCAACATCTGGACAAGGTACGATAGGGTATTTAATCAACATACTATTCCACGCCGATCTCAAATCCCTGGTACACAAACGAGAATTTTCCATTTGTGTGATCGAACGTTCAGATATTAACGGGGCATTCATATCCATCAATAATGACGACCGTTGGGTGTTCCATCTCGCTTATGACCCCTCCAAAGGCGAGCAAGCTTCAGACTTCACTCCCGAGAGATGTATAGAGTTATTACGCATTGCAATAGGAATACCCGATCTTGAAATAGATGTCAAAAGCATACTGCCTTGGGAACCATCTGTACGAGTAGCAAATCAACTACAACATGGACGTATCTTTCTCGCTGGCGATGCTGCTCATCAGATGCCTCCATGGGGAGGTCAGGGTGCAAACTCTGGTATTACAGACGTTCATAATCTTGCTTGGAAACTCGCACTTGTACTTCAAGAACAAGCGAGCAAGAGACTGTTAGAAACATACAATGCAGAACGACAACCCGTAGGCAAAACAGCAGCAGTGGTATCAGCAAGTGGTAGCGACAAGCGGGGAATGGTCTCGCTAAACCTTCGGGATCCAGCTGTTATAGTGGGATTTTATAAGAGAATAGGGTTAATCTCCGGACACGGATATACTTATGCTAGTAACTCAATATGCGCAGAGAATACATCTCCTCTCGGTGGTTTGACGTGGAAACCGTGGACATTAGCTAGTTTATTCTTTTTCCTCGATGGTAGACCTGGTAGTAGACTTCCACATCTATGGATCATGTATGAAGGAAAACGCATTTCGACTCTCGATCTATGCGGGCAAAAATTCACTTTGCTGACTGGAGCAAAAGGAGAAGCATGGATCGAAGCTGCGAAATCAATATCGAAACCTCTAGCTATCGACATACTCACATACAGTACAGGACCAAACGGCGATCTCGTCACAGAAGCTAACATATTCGAAACTACAACGGGTATATCATCTCAAGGTGCGATATTGGTACGACCAGATGGATTCATAGCATGGAGAGCCAGGAGACAAGAATCTGGTCTAGAGACGCCACGAGTTCAACTTGAGCTGGCGATGAGACGGATTCTTTGTTTGTTGTGATTTACATGCGGGTTTTGAAGATGAAGGATTAATGATGTGGAAATCTTGGAGTTTAGGGATTGGTTTGCTGAATGGGGGAGTGAGTAGATGTAGAACATTTGGTTGGGATTTATAAATCTCCTCTTGATCGTTATTGAAATACGTACTTATATTATCTTAAACCCGTATCTTTCATTCTACTCACGTACATGGACATATTGTAGATTAACGAGTTTCAAACTCCCAACTTTCTTACAATTTATGATGATGGTCTTGTTCTCTTACACAAGGTGAGTAACACTCTCCATGAAAGAGTTCCTACGAATATAAACGTGAAAGCTAGCAGGATTCAGGAAGCTGGGAGATTTATCTACATATCCCCTCAATGATTCTGTATACTTCCATAGTTTACTTCGTTGTCTGGTATCAACCAGTGGTATGTTAATATCAATTTCATTCTCTATCAAAGCTAGTGGTTATAGTAGATTCTCTTGTATACTTCATACTCATCCGGAAAATTATCACAGGAAGCAGTGTATGACATTTGATATATAAATTTAGAATCTTGGGATCGTATTTTAGCACCTCTCTTGCATGATCTCCGGGCTTTAAATCGTATGAATTGTAAAATGCATTGTATATTAAAAACTATGTAATGCCATGGTAATGTTTGTCTTCAAATTCCATCATCCTTCAGTTAGTTTTTCAAAATTCTCACTCTTACTCAAAGTCCACACGTATATAGTATATACAAATAAATTACACATTTCTTATTTCATATTTCATATCTCATACATTACATACCCCAACCAACTCCAACCATTCCACCGCTGACTAAAACTACGACTCAGCAGCCAAGCCCTTTGTGATATCAATCACGCTGACGGTAACCTTATTTGTCGTGCTAGGTGGCAAAATTCCACCACCAGCAATCAAAAGATGATTCTTGTTACTATCCAACACTCTCAAATGCCGGGTGTAACTTGTACCTTCTGGAGTTGCAACTGTCTTCCACGCATCTGCAGCTCCAAGTGCTCTGTTGACGAAAACTTCCGAACGGCCGCCAGAACTGACAATGATAGTACCGTTTGCACCACCGGTTGGTGACCACACGTTATATGGGGAGCCGGTGGGTTGAATGCCGTTGTTTGTGATGAGAGGTGTACCGGGTGCAGAGAGGAAAGTGAGAGGAGAAGAGGAGATGCGGTAGTAAACGGGGAAGAGATATGTGGAGGTGTTGTTTACAGTTGGGCCACCGCCGTATTCGTAGGTCATGATGTATTTACCGTTGGGAAGTTTGGAGATGGTTGTCATTCCTGGACGAGCGGTATAGGTTGAATAGTGAACGTCATCTACAATTGCTCCCCAGGTGAGGAGATCGGAGGAAACAGTGTGGACGAGCTTTTGGCCGTATAATGGATCACGTTGGTCGGAGTAGTAGACTTTTATTGGGTCAGTATTTATGGGATGGTAGAGATTATGGGGAGTACTTACGAACGATCTGTCCCTTGTATGTGAGAAGGAACGGTTCCCAGATAGCAGGAACACCATTATCAGGAACAGCTGCACCACCATTTGCTACAGTCGATACGAATTCCCAAGTATATCCATGATCCAAGCTAGCATAAACATCAATTTGAGTCTCACTCAAATCTGTCGGGATAGAATTTCCAGTCGCAAGAATAGTACCAGCTGGGTATTTTCCGACTTTCTCCGTCATATAGTATAAGAATGGTTGATATCTCAATCCCCATCCATTAACCTGATCTGTAATATTCGAGATATGTTTCCATGATTCTCCACCATCTGTACTCTTGAAGATAGGGAAATAGACAAGAGGAGGTTCGGGACTGTAGTTTTCCCATGTAGCTAAGAGCACACCACCTGGTAACTCGACAGTCCGGGCATAGAGAACACCAGGATCAGTCCAATTGGCTCCAGGAGTGAAAATCGTGACATCAGAAAATGTGCTAAAAGGAGCAAGTGCAGGAGCCGCAAGAACCGTCTTGCACACTGCAGCAAGCAGCGCAAAAGAGAAGAACTTCATCTTGAGTTGTAAGGAGGATCTAATATGAGAACACAAGGAGAAACTATACAAACAACAAGAGAAAATTCATGACTTTTATACTCTCCTCTATACCCCTGCATTCCCCAAGTTTGATTCACTTGATCACGACCAGGTATTCCGGAAAAATACCCCGCATGAGAATAGTAACCACTGGGAACATAGCTCTGCATCGTACTCTCCAGCATGCGGTCGGCATGGGGGCATTCCCATGTTGATCCCCGCAAAAAACTATAGTTGAGCGCGGCTGGCCATCAACACGGGACTGGTTCGCAAGAAAGGTTTCTCCAGTGCATTTGGATGCGCACCAATCGGAGACGAGCGCTAAGTGACTACATCACCCCATCGCCGGTAAAGAAAAAAAGGACTTGGCATTGAGGTGCACCTTGTGAGGGGAAACTTGGGGATACTATTGATTGCATGCAGATGTACTGGCGGTGAAATTGTTTGTCCGAGGTTTGAAGTTCTTGGTTTCTCTTGGAGCAGGTTGGGATGGATGAAGTTTTGTGCTAAATTGTCATACGAGAAAGCTAGCGCTGATGATACAATCATTGGGTTGTTGTCGATACTAATTGAGTCTTGGTATGATTACTCAATTTGAGTCAATATACCAACAGTGAGATTAACTAGTATGTAAACTAATTGTCGAGTATCTATCATGTTGTGAAGTTCCAAAGTTCCAATGACAATATGATGCTTCATCCCATCTCAAAAGAGGCAAGAACTGACGATCCTCAGCACGTCACCATCGCTTGCAACTTCCCTTCCAACTTTTCCCAACCCCATGCTATCAACATCTGAATACCTTCAGCATTTCAACTCAACAACTCAATCTCATTGACCCTAAGGGATTGTTCCTAAACACCAATTCATCTCTCAATCAACAATCAAAACACCTACAAAATGGCCACCAGATTCGCGATTCGCCGTCTTGCAACCCCTCAAACTTTCCGCACTTTCTCCACCACCCGCCCAGCATTCATCAAAGTCGGCGATAAAATTCCCAATCTTGACACCTTGGTTGAGAATTCACCCGCTAACAAGGTTAACTTAAGTGAGCTTACTACTGGTAAAGCTTTGATCATTGGTGTTCCTGCTGCTTTCAGTATGTTTATTCCCCCTTTTCTTGCTTTCGCTTTCAATCTCTAGTGAGAATTTCGAATCTGTGTCTACTCAAATAGATTTGGAGACCTTCGATATATAAATTTACAGATATATAAGAACAAAAGAAAGAAACATGAGCATTAACTGACATAAAAACAGGTCCCTCGTGCTCCAATTCTCACATTCCGGGCTATATCAATCATCCCAAGCTCAAGGAAGCCGGTGATGTATTTGTAGTTGCTGTTAATGATCCTTTTGTGTAAGCGAGCTACTTTATGAAATTCTGCTATTCATTACTCTGTTCTATCTCTCGCATTTGAGAACTTTGATCGAAATGTCACGAGGATATACATAGATGGATGAAATCATTAGACTGTACTAACACGAAATTCCAGTACCAAAGCATGGGGCTCAACTCTTGATCCTACCGGTGAATCTGGTGTATGTGTTCTATTCCCCCTCTCCCCAACCCATCCACTCATCTCCTCCTCAATTCATCCCCAGACCCCAAACCACCATTGACTCTCCCCCTCCAACAGATCCGCTTCCTCGGCGACCCAACCGCCTCCTTCACCTCTGCCCTTGATCTAACCTTCGACGGCACCGCCATCTTTGGTGGACCCCGCAGTAAACGTTACGCGCTCCAAATTGAAGATGGGAAGGTCAAGGCCCTTCACGTTGAGCCGGATAACACTGGTTTAAATGGTATGTTTTTCCATTTCCCATTCCTTTCTACAATCTATTGCTTCTCCATTCTTCACTTTCGGTATTATCCATCCAGCCCTGTGGTATATTCACACATCACTTTCATCCCAGTTCAATCATCGCAGCTCGAGAGCAGAGCAGAGAAAAGCAAAGCAAGAGAAAAAGCTAACACAACCCCCTCTAATAGTCAGCGCCGCCGAAAAGGTCCTCGGCTAAACACCTCAAGTCAAATCAAATCATGATCCCCAGTCACCCAAGTCCTAGACATAACTCACTTGATCAATGGCATGTTTCTTCATGACTTCATCTGCTTCATATCCATATGTCAAATAGCTTGCCCTCGAACAGATACCTCGAAATGAATAATCAAAATACTCTTCTGCTCCTACCCATCCATCATTTCCCAAACCGTGAAACACCTACCTAGTAGCCAATGAGTATAACAATGACAGTAACTCCTTAATCTCAAAGCAACAATCCCAGCATACCCAATACCCAAAGAAAACACCCACAATGAGATACACAATACAAATAAACGCACCAAGACTAGCTTAGTGATACTATCCTCTGTATTCCAAATTTTGTAATTATCAAGGTCCATTTCTCTATACACTATTAACGAGAGCTTATTATTTTTTAGGACCGAGCAGTCTATTTTATAGTGCCTCGGCCAAATATTATGCCGATCTGAACCCTGAGAGCGACATACATAAGCTGTTCATACCCCAATTCAAACTCAGCTACATCTGTCCGAAAACCACAAGATTAAAGTGATATCTCGTGTCCACTTTCAAACCATCAGGATCAAGTTTTGGGGGCCAGCTGCTATCATTCGCTCAAGTGTGTTGGATGTTATCTCGGTTCTGTCAAATTGTGCCTAGGCAATTAGTCGCTGATGTTGGATTGGATGCTGGTGGTGCTGAATACCGCTCGAATGGATATAATCGAATCCGGGAGTGAGATTCATCTCTACTATATATATTCTCTCATGTTGCGTTGCGTATATTCATGATCCTATTATGCTATACGACGCGATGTTCTACCTCCCCCTGCATCTTTCTTACATCGTAGCGCCTTGTAATATCAGCCCTCGAGCGTTTTACATTCATCCTTCCTTTCTTTATGTGTGCGGCGATTCCTTCAAGAAGAAATCATAGTTCACGAGATAAAGTTTACTCATAAATCTACCCATGATCTGGTTTCTGTTCTTCGTCTTTCTAATAGGCAGTGCTGGTGCAGCGGGCACCTCTAACAATTTCATATTCCCCTCAAACCTCACCACTCTCAATGCTTCTCACGTCGTCGAAGGATCGTACGAAGTAGGCAGCACAGTCGACTTACGATGGGATACTATCTGGGATATGGTCACCATTGTCATCTGGCAAAATGGAAAGCCGCCTTATCAATACCTTCCTAATTCTGGTAACTCAACCTTATTTTACATTCCACCGGATGGTTTCCAATATCTCGAAATCCGTTTGATATATTGAACTTATTCAAGACATTCCACCCGCTCGAACCACTAGTTTTCATTGAGATATCCACGGTAGTTGGATAATCGAAAGTTTTCCCATCTGTACTAAACTTGGATAAGCTACATCATTTCATCTTACTAACAGTCCAAATACCCAATCTGGTAACTTCATACACAGGGATTATTGATATCAGTGGCACGAACGGTAATCCAGGATTCGACCTCAACAACGGATCGACATTTTATTTCATAATTACGCACACCGGAACCCCCGACTTATTCGCAAGCCAGTCGATTAATATTACAAATAAGGCTATCAGTTCATCCGCTACTTCATCTTCTTCTCCTTCTTTGAAAATTGAGACAACAAGTACTGCGAGTATTTCGACAGCTACTCGAGCCATCTTCTCCAGCTACTTCTCCAGCTACCACATCGAGTGAATTGAGTCCAGGTGCGAAAGTGGGTATAGGAGTAGGTGTCACACTGGGTGTCATGGCCATCATCGCAGCCTTCGCGCTAGGATATCATCTTCGACAACCTTCAAAATCTCCAAATCCTCATACCATGACTACGAAACCGGACGATGAGTCGGCGGAACCGAAACCATTGGTATGGCAACCGCCACAGGAACTGTCATCTACTGTCCCGCGCCCGAAGCCCCAGGATCCGATTTTTGAGATTCAGGGGTAGGGAATGCAAGAATTGGGTCGAAACTTCGCGGGGGTCTGATCTATTTTGGTGGTCGCATGGGTTTGTTTTCACGGAGGGGAGATCTTCCGAGTCGATTTTCGCTCGCATCGCATGGTTAAGTAGCTACCTATCGTAATGCATGATGTGTATACTATCACAATACGCTTCCTATAATATAGCTTGGAGAATATACAGTACTAGTACATCTCTCGAAGATGAGATGTTGATAAAGGTACTTACTCCACTGGTGCTCAGATGTTTGTTATCTCAATCTCTTGACACAATAGCGAACGAAAGTATTACGAGCACCTTCAAGTAAAAAGATACGAGTATCGAGAAAACCATCTATCTATTACTGTAACCGAGTTTCGATTTCTAGAGGTAGGTAGGTACCGGTATATACTACAAAGTGATTAAATTTCTTCTGTATTATGTAGCATCAATATTAAGTACCTTATAAGCATAGGTATATACATACAAGTCTACTATAGAATCCATATCTCAAAAACCCATAACGAATTCCATCAAAGATCGAAACGAATTGCCATCTCCAATGAGCTAGCTATTACAAAGACCCTAATAAACTCGTAGGGGTTGTTTTTCGCCTCCGCCCTGGTATAGTTTATATTTATTTGTTCAAATCATCTATGAATTTAAGGGGATCGTTGATATACCACCCACCTCCAATTCACGTCAACTTCTCTTGCGGACGAAAGAATCTCCCTAACCAGTAGTGTTTATTTCGAGCTTTTCAAGTCCCCAAATCTCAAATCTCAAATCTCAAATCTCAAATCTCAAATCTCAAATCTCAAAACAAACATTACAATAACTTAATGACCCAATTTCACCAAAGCATCTTGAACACAAATATCCCCTGTATTAACAGAGCATTGAGATTCAAAGGCTACATACAAATCGCTAAACAATGTCTAAATTGTCAGACAAAGTAAGGAGGCTTTATCCACTAACCCCCAATTAATAGGACTAAATAACCTAATTCCTCATTTTCCATTCCAGTGTACATGATTTAAATCGTGTCCTATGATATCATCCCCAAAATGATTTATCTATACCTAGCAATACTCGCTCAAAATCAGTATGGTATCTCCACCTTGCGCCAAACCAAACCAGAGATCCACACCCGCACTTGTACAACCAGCAATAATAGACTGCTCGTAAATAAACCAATCCCAACCAAGAATGACCTGAACCCAATATAAACCTTCCAAATCACGCCATAAAATGCTCGAGTCCGCCATATTCGCCAATCGAAATAAGATCCAACTCCAAATCTCATAAACGTTTACGATATTCAAAGTTCCACCCCCTCGCTCTCCTCAAACAGAAACGGGGGGACGGATTTACTCGCCGCACTCCCCAACTGAACACTCTTATCACTAGCTTCCATTTCGTACTTTTGCTCCTGGGTCGCCACAGCCTTAGGATCAATATCTCTTACATACGCCAACATATCAATACTATCATCATCATCATCTTCCGCGTCTTCAATATCCATAGCACCTTCATCAGATGACACTTGTATATCGTTATCTGACATCAGATCTTCGCCTTTTTCTAGAGGTTCATCTCTAAGATGAGAAATTCCCATGAAAGAAGAGGTGTCGGAATAGTCTCCTACGGTTTCAGTGCCGCAAAGCATGCCGAAATAAGAGGACGGTTCGGGTAGGGGTGATGGGTGAAGCATAATCAATTGTTCCGAAATGTTTTCGGTCTTGATGGGTAAACTCTCATATGGTCGGTGCGGTGGCGATCCATTAGCAGGATCGGTCGAGTGAGCCAATTTACTGATTATGCTATCCACCTTGTTCTGAGGCTCTGGATTGTGAAATGAATCTAGTGAAGACTGTGAAATCGTGTGTAAAATCTTCGAGGTTGAACGGGGAGCAGAGAATTTAGAAACCTTGAAAGGAACATGGTCTTTATTCGTCGTCAATCGTGTGTGAACCTTGTAAAGCAAGTGGTCGGCTGGTTGAATGCCGGCGAGCCCACTGGCGACAAATTCTGCAAGGGGCGGAGGAGATTCAGGGTCGCCAGATGCCATGTCTGTGGTAAATTCAAAGTCCGTATCATCGGAGAGTATACTGGGAGTTTGTGGTCTTGTTTCTGGGGGCTGGAACAGATCTCCTCCTTTGGAATAGTCCTTGAAAGGCCTGAATGGTAGAAAAGATCCGGAAGGAGTCCTGTCCTTAAGGAGGTGTCTTGTAGGAGGTGAGCAGCCGACAGCATCTTCAGTGTGATTGCTGTAACCATCTTTGTCAATGCCAGTAATATGTAGCGGAGTTTCAAGATCGCCACGATCGCCAGAGAGATCACTAAAGAATTTCGTTCCATTGTAGAATATCAATGGCCCATCATCGCGTGGACTGTTACCGAGTCTCTTGATAGGGGATGCAAAGCCGTGAAGACTATAATGATTTGGCGAGATGTCGCTCTCATCACCAGACACCTCGGATGTATGTTGTGGATAACGAACAAACATCGGCTCATAGAAGCATGCGTCCATTGCTTTAGGATTCTTTGAGCTCTGGTTTATCATTTTCAGGGGTGCTTGTCCCGTAGGAGTGAATTTGTTGGCATGAACCTTGCGTCTTTTGCGCGAAGCTTCGTCACTGCCATCACTATCGGGTGGGGATCGTTGATGAACACTGCTATTACCGCTGTCACTGTTCAAGCTTGTTCCTTGCGTACCACCTCTCCATCGCAGTTTCTTTCCATCTGGAGATATTTGAAGTTTCCTACTCAATTCGGTTACTGCAGATCTGATAAAGCCAGGTGTGACGTTGATAATATGCAATTGCGCCATGTTGATCAGAAGATTCAAATAAACCCATCCCTCGGCATCAACGGCAGCATCTTGTGATTCTTCTGTTAATAGTTGGGGTGCTGAGATTCCGAGGTGGCGAATATACTCGACGTTATCGGAACCGACTTGGTCACGGTCTGGATCCAAATCCAAGGGCCTAGTTGGCCTTTGCTGTGGTGAAGGGGATCCACGAGACTTATGAGAAGAATCTGACTGTTCTGTTGGCGATTGGCTATTCTTTGAATTATTTACTAATCCCTGCTTGTCTAGTTCCATATTATGTGGCCCGATATGAGCTTCGCGTACACCTTCTCTAGGGTGGAAATGAATTTGCGAGGCTTGATCTGCTCTCGCGGCCGACCTGGACACCTCTTGCTGTTGCAAAGATTGACTGTGCGCGCCGATGAGCGATCCTGTCTTTCCTGTAAATAATTGTTCTAGACGCCGAACAACCATCCTCTTTCGCTGATTTTCGGACATTTCTAGGGTTGATCTCGGTTGTAATCCCTGGGGAATGTCTTGCAAGAAATCCTGCAGTTTTTGATCGGCTGTGACCCGCGATTGCGTTGGCCTATACCCTTCCCCAGCCGAGGAGCTATGCGAAGGCCCGGATCTCGACATCGAGGCATATGCCGAGTCAGTCGGTCGGGAGTTGGACCCTGATGAAACGGATTTATGCTTTGTAGGTTTCCCGGAAAGCGAATAAGATCTTGACTGTCGACCTGTTGGACCATTAATGCTTAAATCTTCTGACGAACCGTTAAAACTGGCAGAAAATGCATGAAGAAGTTCTTCTAGCTCCCTTCGTTTACGTGCCGATAAGGCATGTATTTTGACTTCAAAGAGCTTCTCGTTCTCCAAGTGGGTCGTCGATGAACGTCCATATCTCTTTAATTTCTCCTTCAACTTCTTATTTTCGATGGTCAAATCGTCAATGATACTGCGATACTCTTCTGATGCACTGCCATCTCGAGATCTTGATATGGGGTTCAATGAGTGTAGATTGTAACGGTTGCCTCGAAGTGGCAACTCTTTGCTGGAGTCAGTGTCTTCGTTGGAGCTGTGTTGAAGAAAGTATGGCGGGTCACCTGCAACTATGTCAATTTACAGGAGCTGGTGAAGCTCCCTAACCAGAAACTTACTAGTGTCTCCAGAGTCCTGGTTGACAGCAATCACAGGACGTGTATTTGAGCGATCAAACCAATCCTTTACATTCGTGGCAACAGTATCCTCTGAATCGTCCGATGTTTGTTTTCCGAAAGGCGAGGTGGAATTACTTCTTGGCTTAGTCGAGGTATCAACCTGCTTTACCACACCCAAGTCCGACTTTTCCTTCTCAATAGGACCAGGCGTGTCGTGCCTCAGGGAGACGGAGAGATGTGCCGGAGGTCTTCGAGGATGAGAAGCCGTCGCATTCATCGTTGAATCCGATTCCAGATTCATAGCCGACGAGACAATTGAAGATGATATGTGGTATTATAATTGTAAAGAACCCATTGCAACCGGCCGTGGACAATATCACAGTCGACCTACGATTTGAATAAGATTATATGCAAGTAGAGAAGCGAGATACCCTTATAACACTACACTGGCGAACCTGTTGGATATGTGAAGTAGATTTGAGCCTGCGTGAAGTATTTTGTTTTTCCGATTGAATACCTAGGTAGGTAGGTATCGTACCTCGTGTGTCCGGAGGAGGGGATGCGGTTGAAAGCTTTAACAATCTGGGTGATTAACACTTGGGTACTTTCTGGATTCTTAAGAGAAGCGAAGACCAAGGTTGTATGTAATTCGTTGAATGGGAAGAAGGTACTGGATATTGCATATGTGTGCGCAATGGGAGTAGATATTGAAGAAGGACTTCTTCACGTCTTTACAGAGTAGGTAAGGTTTGATGAAGGTACTAATGCTCTTTTTTTTTTATGAAAAGAAAGAAATGATAAAGGAAAGATAATGTTCATCATATTGATCATATCATACCTACCAAGTTTGTTGGTATTATTGAACGTTGAAAAAATTGACCTCATGTTTAGGTTCTTGCTCGCTGATGCTGTCAACAAGCCACGATCCAAGGAGCAACTTCCAAATTTCTGAAGGGTCGTCGAGATCTGAAAATCGAAGGGAGATCTGAACTTAAGATGGCATGATCTCAATATGATTGGTTGAGAATCTTACTAATCCACCGCAATCCGGACTCCACCAATCGAGAATTTACGATGATGGATGATGAGTTTCCAAAATTCAAGTGTTGATAAGTAGAACTTTTATATATATATATAGTTATGATATATCTGTATTTGTATATATACGTACTAGGCATATATATATGTAGGTATGTATCTATATGTAAAGACTATACAATTAATCTATCGATTTTCTCTATTCCTATATTCTGTACAATGTACATATGATACATAATGAATGTACCACTCATCAGTATGATGAGAAAAGAAACACTCATCACATCCTCCAAGAACAGGGGAGTCGGACTGTCGGAGGAGACCTGCTGAAAGTCTGGATTCTATAATCCTCCATTCCCTCGATAACTAGGGGTCATTCTCGATTCAGGGACCTTTATTAGCGTCGGAGTAGCCCCTTCCACACTAGCACACTCTCTACCTGCAGTATTCCAAATTTCCAATTAACGAACCAACGAGCCATAAACCACGAGCCATAAACCACGAGCCATAAACCACCAGCCATAAATCACCAGCCATAAATCACCAGCCACAAACCACCAGCCACCAGCCACAAACCATAAACCACCTGGGCATGCCCAGAGCCATCCAGCCTAATAGATCAGATATCAACTCAATGCCCCTCAGTAGGGCTCAGAGCCTCAGATGTTTGAGACACCAATCGTTACGAGTAGATGTCTGAAGATATAGATATCTAATCTCATCGAGTGTCATTCAGATATCGAGGTGTCCGACCCCATCTACGGCAAAAGATCAAATGATACCTACCTATCCAGAGATTCCAAATATCTCCTTCCACCTGGGCAATGCGAGATCGAAAAAAGGGTGCTAATCGTCATAAAGCATTGAATTATAATTTTAGTATTCAATGTCAGAAATCACCAAACGATTGACAACGTTCCAACCCAATCATTCTCGATTGGCTTTTGAAACGTTCCAAGCTGTCTTGTGTAATCCATAAGCTTGATAAGCTCGTTTAACCCTTTCTTCGATTGATTCGGCATCCGGAACGTTTGAATTCGATTTCATCGACGATAGATCTGAACAACGTTCTGTATTACCCTAAGGAACTTTCTTCCCATGGTCTTACTTTAGATGGGCATAAATAGTCAGAAGTTGTTTCACGTGTACCGAGTCACACTTTTTACATAAGCCTAGATTTGGCTACTAACGAGCTAACCTACTATATCATTCAAATCTGGGTGGCAACGATGTATATTGAAAGATCAACATGTCAAAATCTCCTGGTGCCATTCAGCAGCCATTTTGTATATTGGTCTAGCACACCGGCCACGCACTAAAATCTCCCAAAGACGATCTGTACATGGGATCAACAAAGATACGTCCTACCCGGTGTTGTCGGTACGGAAAATAACGACAAATACCCTTTCTGGATGCAAAACTTCCGGTTCGATCAATTTGCATTTCAATATGTGTCCCGAAAAGAAAAATGATGAGTTTACCTAGATGCGATTTCCTTCGGTCTCACAATTGGGCAGATATTCAGCCATGGATAATGAATGAGCTTAGAGTTTACATCCTGATCAACCCAAGTCCTCGGTTAATTCATCAGCAAAAAAGGAATCGAGATTTCTGAACTCTCATCACAACAATTCGACCCCTCTCCAACATGATATGATCTACCGGCTCTTAAATGCCCATTCATGTGATTACACAGAATTGCTTCTCCTTCAATCTTACTCCGCATGACAATATCACCCCACAAAAGAGATGAAGGTCCAGGAAGATTTCAACCATTCACGCTCGTACCGGGTGTCTCATCATACCAAACTCTTGCCCATCTTTACAATCTCCAATACCAATCCATCATCTAGAGGCGCGTCGGATCTTCCCAATGCCTCGTACCCCATCTTCTCGTAGAATGCAACTCCACTCAAGGTAGAGCCGATTTCAGCCTTCTTAAAGCCTGCTTCTATCGCGGCGTTCTCACAAGCTCGAATAATCATACCAGCAATACCTCTTCGTGTCCAATCAGGATGAACAAAGAAAGCACGAATTCTGGCACCATCTACGTCAGGATTCAACAGTTTTGAATCTCGAGTTGCAAATTGATCACCCCCATACAACGTGGACCTATAAGATATTCCACCACATCCCACAATCGTATCTCCAGATGTCACTACAAAGTAATTTCCATCCTGGATGAGTTGGGTATCAACTCCGTATACTGATTTCAGAGCACCGGCTATTTGTGCTGGCGTATAGTGTTCGACTTGGAGACCTCGGACCGACGCATCAATTAGCGGATGAAGTTGCGGGATGTCATTGACGGTAGCTCGGCGAAGTTGGAGTTCCATGGCGAAATTGGTATGTTATTCTTCCCGAGTACGACAATTTGTATTTCCTCGTCTGTCATGGATCGAAATGCTTTGATCGAACCTCTGTGAATCTCTGAAACGTGAACATATATCTGCCCACTTTTGAAGCCATTATCGGCCGGGAGATTATCGGAAGTGAAGCTGTACAGAAGTGAATCCGGAAATAGATAAGAAACCTAGGTATTTCTATCACCAATTCACGATTGATATCACAATGAGGTTGCAGTACATCTAGGCACCCGTCAAATGGGACCGAAATCGCAAGACATCATGATTTGATTGTTTGGCTGCAACACTGCGGCGTGAATGGGATAGAGATGTGGGAAAATGGAAAATTATGCCGGTAGGTGATACGATCAATATAGCCGGAAGCTATCCCAAGATTTCTCTACGCATGGAAAAAGCATTGGATGCGAGGTATGCCGTCTGAAGAATCCACGACGACCCTGCGTCTGATGACTTTTTTGTTTGAACATTGATAAATGTAGATTGAACGCCATCATCTAGGAAACTTAGCCGATGGGTATATACTGATGAATTCAAAGACGTCTTGTGAGGTCTAGATGTGAGGTGCAATCAATACATGCAGATATACAAGAGTACTCTCTGCCAAGCTTCAAATACCAATGTAGTTTGCAATTACTCGAGCAGGAGGATATTATGAATACCTATCCGAGCTATCCATCGGTGATATCAATATTAGATGATGTTCGCATGGATGAACTTCTTTGATTCATTCAAGATGATTAATTCATTAGATGTTTTTATTCCTTTATAGCTTTGGTTTATTGATTTACATTGCTAGCCAATAGTAAGGTTATATTGTAGTTGATATATAATGTCGTTAATAATAATTATGGTAAATAAAGATATCCGAATCTAAATATATCAAAATCAGAATCTTTTTTCTTCAAGCAGCCTTTTATAGTTGTTTAAATTGGATTACGTCGTGTAGGTATTCTTCCTTCGTCAGCCTTCTCTACTGCGGGGTCAAATTGTATGGTAAGGATAATCTTCTTATCAGTTTTTATACCTACTAGTGTAGTACTTTGTTGCTTACAGGAACATTTGCAGCACCAGCAGAGCACCAGGAAGATCTATATGATTGATATCAAAAAATAAAAATGATGCCAAGGTTACCATCGACACCGTCTACATTTAAAGTAAGAAATGAAGTATATCTTCACATTCCGGATCCACTTCGAACTCTCTCGTAATTTCTCGAATGCCTTCTCGGTGACTTTCAACATGGGGTGGAGGAAAACCTCCTGAAACTCTCCGCCGATGAGGTAATGGTTGTTAATTTGATCATTGATGCCCACCTCCCACCCACCACCTGCGAATATTCCATGTTCCTGTTGGCGGGGAACGAAAAATACCTCCTTCGTACTTGACAACGAAAAAGGCAAAGAGATATCACAAAACTTTTATAAGACTCACATACCTAGAGTGAAAGATATTTTTTTCTTGGTCTTCTTCTCTTCAATCCCTTTCTGAGAAATTCACACCTTTGACAAGTTCATGTAATCGCTATTGAAGACATCTTTGTCCTTTGTTTTTTTCTGAAGCTACCTACCTAGTACCTACTGACTGACTGGCGGACGGACGGTTTCCAAGTTTATTTAACCTTGGAATTCATTCACTCCCAAGCTCAAGCTTGCCAACGAACTAGAAAACCACTCACACACCTTTTGGAAATTTATCCAACTCATACTACCTATTTAGCCTTACCGGAAACACCCGTTTATCGCTTGTAAAGCTTCCCATCATCTACTTCTTTGACAGCTTCCTCTAAAGATCTAAAGAGGATCTCAAGAAGATCTATCTCAACTTAAAATCCCGACTTATCTGATCTAGCCCAGTTCTACTTCTACTTGTGCCATCAGCCGCACATTGCATCACGATCATAGAACGAAAATAACTACAACATGCCTTCCATAAGTGACGAGGAGCCCAAAGCTTCCAGCAGATTACTTCTGGTATCCAACAGGTTACCCATCACAATCAAACGAACTGAGGATGGTCAATATGAATTCACTGGTTCCTCGGGTGGATTGGTAACGGGTTTGAGTGGATTGGCAAAGACGACTACATTCCAGTGGTATGGATGGCCAGGCTTGGAAGTGCCAGATGCTGAAGCAAAGCCTTTGGTTAAGAGATTGAAGGACGAACATGGTGCTCATCCAGTCTTCGTCGATGATGAATTAGCCGATAAGCACTACAATGGATTCTCTAGTATGTGTTTTCTACCATCTCTGCCCGGTTACATCTGTCATTACATGTGCAAGTACTAACAGCCTTCATAGATTCTATCCTTTGGCCTCTATTCCATTACCACCCAGGAGAGATTACATTCGACGAGTCACAATGGATGGCATACAAGGAGGTCAACCGATTATTCGCGAAAACGATTGCTAAGGATGTCCAAGATGGTGATTTGATTTGGGTCCACGATTATCATCTTATGCTTCTTCCAGAAATGTTGCGCGATGAAATCGGCACGAGCAAGAAGAATGTCAAGATTGGATTCTTCCTTCATACACCTTTCCCTTCCAGTGAGATCTACAGAATCTTACCCGTCAGAGAATCTTTGTTGTTGAGTGTTCTTCATTGCGATTTGATCGGGTTCCATACATATGATTATGCCAGACATTTCCTTAGCAGCTGCTCTAGAATTTTGTAAGTATGAATCCTGCTCTTCACAAACTTCAACTAACAATATGTAGGGAAACACAAACAACACCTAATGGTGTCGAATTCCGTGGTAAATATGTCACAGTAGCTGCTTTCCCCATTGGTATCGACCCCGAAAAGTTCATTGAAACTCTCAAAAAGCCAAAAGTCGAAGAGCGTATTGCTCAATTAGAGCGCAAATTCGAAGGTGTTAAACTCATCGTCGGAGTTGACAGATTAGATTACATCAAAGGTGTTCCACAAAAACTACACGCTCTCGAAGTCTTCCTCACAGAACATCCCGAATGGATCGGCAAGGTAGTCCTTGTCCAAGTCGCTGTCCCTTCTCGTCAAGATGTTGAAGAATATCAAAATCTCCGCGCCGTCGTCAACGAACTCGTCGGTCGTATCAACGGTCGCTTTGGTACCGTTGAATTCATGCCTATTCATTTCCTCCATCAATCTGTCAATTTCGATGAACTCACCGCTCTCTATGCCGTTTCAGATGCCTGTCTCGTATCCAGTACTCGTGATGGCATGAATCTCGTCTCTTACGAATACATCGCCACACAACGTAAACGTCATGGTGTTATGATCCTCTCTGAATTCACAGGCGCGGCTCAATCTCTCAATGGCGCTCTCATTGTTAATCCGTGGAATACGGAAGAACTTGCAGATGCTATCCATGATGCCGTCACAATGTCTCCGGAACAAAGAGAAATCAATTTCAAGAAATTGGAAAAATATGTATTCAAATACACGAGTTCATGGTGGGGAGAAAGTTTCGTAAGCGAGTTGCAGAGGATTAGTGAACACGCGGCGAAAAAGTCAAGCAGTAAGGGGACGGTAGATAAGATGCCAGACTTGGTAGAGGGGGTTCAACAATTCAATCTTGGGGAACAGAGAGAGGAAGGGAGATTGGAACCGGGTGAATTCGATGACTAGATTTAGGGTTTGGGATAGAATGGAAAGGGAGTACTACAAGAGAGAAGAGAAGAAAATCTTTTGATGGGACCGGCCATACTTTCCTTGATAGCATGGATGGATGGATGGATGGACGAATGGCGTTAATATATTTGTTTGTTTGCTTATGATTGATGACTTGATTCATATTTCAAATTGAATTGAATTGGAACATATACGGATGGATGAATGGATGGATGGGTGGGTGTGCTGGGAATATAAGAAAATGGGAAACAAATAAATACATACATATACACACACATATGTGCATAGATAAATAAATGCATAGATAAATAAATGAAACAAAAAATGTTGAAATGAAAAGAAATCATATCTTAATCACTGTTGGAATAGGTATTTATATCAAAATCTACATCAAACTCCACATCTCAAAATGAAGAAATGAAAAATAATAAAATAACAAAAGAATTTTTGATTTTTGATTTTTGATTTTAAAAATTGAAAGGTTGAAAAATTGAAATAAATCATTCGATTAATCGAACTCCTTCCTTCTTCGATCCGTAGCTCAACCAAATCAATTCATCTTGTATCTCTTACGGACGTAATTAGAAGAAGGAAGGTAGGTAGGAAGATAGGTAGGCAGAAGAAAAGAAAGAAAGAAAATCTCCACGTTCAAAATTAAGACGTTCACTCTATTCATGTATACATCACATCATCTGATTCCTCTTACATTCAATTCAATTCAATTCATTCTCACTCCTTCATCATCATTTTTTCCCGCACCATTCTCTTTTCATTCATCCATTCATCCATCCATACACCCAACCACCCCGTCCTGAATTCCATTTCCACACCTTATCCCCACCCTCCCGCAAACTCACAACCTAAGAACTAACCTTCTCCCTCATCATTCCCATCCACTGCTGAAAGCTCATTCCCTGATCCGCCCTATCCTCGACCAACAGCGTCTGCGCCCACAATTTCAACGACGGTTCGCCATCTTCTCTGACCACGTACAAATGCGGCACGACAATACTGCCGACGCCTCTACTCCTATAATCTCTCGCTTTCTGGAACACATTTCTAACTCTCTCACTAAAATCGTTATCCAATTCCGGTAGCGTCGCTTTCCCAACCTTGAGTTTCGAGCGATCCGAGATATCAAATACATCGGCTAACAATTGAGGAACGGCGTCGCGGCCGACCCAAAGGAATTGTGTTTGACCGTCATCAATAAGATAGAGACCGAATGGGACGAGACGTTCCGATGAAAGGTTCATTGGTGGAGGAAGAACGATTTGATTTGTTTCCGGGTCGGGGATACCGGCGTTATCGGGCATATCGTGTAATGAGTACAGACGTGGATAGATGTATTGCATCAA